GAATGGGGGCGGGAGGACTGGGAAACCCCGGGCTCTGGAAATCCCAAACCCGGGCCTCAGTTTTCTCATCCGTAAAAAGGGAGGAAGGAAGGGTTAGACTCACTGGAGATACCTTCCAGCTCTGGCGTTTGTAACCTTTCAAGTCTCTCGATTAAAAATGTAAATGTGTGTGCGTGTGTTTATGTGGGTTGGGGACACAGCTTTTGTGACTTCAGGGGCAGGGCCCTGGGGAGGGGAAAGACTGGGGATTCCAGAGAAGCCAGCTCACGCCAGGGCCCCACCTCCTCTCCTTCCATTACTCCCACCACCGCGCACTCACCCTCTGCAGCTGAAACAGGAAAGAACCCTGGCAGTCATATGTTTGGACCCCCCCCTCCCCGCAGGAGATCTTGCAGATAAGAAATGGAAGTCCAGAGAGGGGAAGGGGCTTGCCCAGTGTGACACAGTGGGCACATGGCCTAGTTGGCAAACTATGGTCCATAAATGGTTGTGCCCCTCCCCTCACCCGAGCCCAGTCAAATCTGAGGCCAGTCCTACCTTCAGAAAGATCCAGAGAGGGCTGTCTTGAATCCTCACAAGCTCACGACTGCCTACAGGCCTAGCCGGAGCCGGGAACACCCTCCCTGAGCCTTGCCTGGGTCACAGCCCCTCCCTGAGAGCCCCCTGCCGGGCCTGAAGAGTTGGGCAAGGCTGGACTGGAAGCCTTCCATCCCCTTTGCCCAGTTTCCCTCTCCTCTGGGCCTCCTTCTGCCTGGCAGCTGGTGTTGGCAGCACCAAGGTAGGGGCCAGGCTGGCTGCCCTCTCAGGGCCCAGCTGGGCCAAGACTTCTTTCCTGGGGGAATCATTCTCTCCCACCACCAGTCCCTGATGCCTTCATAGACCTGCCCTTTTCTCTCCATTTGCCCATCCCCACCCCGCCACCTCCCCACCTTCTTGCCCCTCACTACTTCCCCTCTCTCATGCTTTTTACTGCAGAGAAAACCCGAAGTTTAAAGCTGCAGAGGCTGGAACGTCTGGGTCCCACACACACACTCCCATGTGTGGTCGCAGTCTAGTTGGCAAGACCATGGGGAAAGGGTTTGAAAACTGTAAGGGGGTTCACGAAGGACTGAGGAAACCTTGCTCTTTAGATGTTCCACAGGGGAGCCCGGGGGAGGGGGAAGCACAAGGCTCCTCCCTCCCTTCTTCCCCCCCTCTGTGCAATGGGTTTGGCAGGGGAGGCTCAGAGGCACAGAGCTAGGGGGGCACCTGCAACAAGAGTCAAGTGTCAGAGCTGGAAACAACCGTGAAGATGATTTTACAAATGGGGAAACAGAGGCTGGAGAGGGGAAGTGACTTGGCCAGTGTCACACAGCCTGCCAGTGGCAGATCCAAATCCATTGCCACAGGGAGGGTGGGCCTAACTTGGCACCTGTGCCCTCCAGCCTCTCACTTTGAGTAGGTGGGTAAGTCAGTCAATGGGAGCAGATTCCTTAGATTTCCAAGTTCTCTGAGTCCTATCTAGAGGGCAGAGGACCACCCTTGCCATGTACCCACATCTGGGCACCTGGAGAGGATGATATGGGGGTGCCAGCTCCAGAGTGGGAGCCCTGCCTGCCTCCTTCCAGGCCGCTGCCTCTCCAGCCTCCTCCCCGGGGCCTTCAGGGGCCTGCTGCTCTAGCTGGCAGCCCCACCCACAGAACATCTGGCTGGGTTGGGCTGGGCTTTGTTAGGGGTTGGGTAGTCCTGGGTCCTAAAAAGCTAGCATTGAGGTGCCAGTGAACAGAACTGGAGGGGTTGGCCTAAAAGGATGTGTCCCAGTGCCTTCAGGGCCCTCCTGTGCCCCTCCCCGCTTGGTGTGCAGTGGTGGCAGCTGTCCCCCTGGCTGAGTTCTTCCTCTCCCTGTTTGGCCTCTCAGGCTGCGAGGCTCTGAATCACACAGTGTCCTTCATCGAGTGTCCCTCTTGCTTTTTTATTTCTTTTCTTTTGGTTGTTTCTCTCTAGGTCTCTGTCTCCTCCGTTTGATTCTGTCTGGGTTTCTCCCCCGTCCTTGGTGCCTCCGTTCCCCCTTAGAGATGCAGTGGGAAGGGGAGGAGCTTTGGAGCTTTCCCAGGATGGGCAGAGGCCACCCAGGGGAGTGGAAGAGGGAAGGGTGTCAGAGTTGGGTTGGGGGCAGAGGTGACTGTGGTCGTAACTCCTGATAACACAACTACCCAGAAATGTCAAATTTGGGGTTTCTTTTTGCTTTCAGTCCCCTGGTTTGGTCCCTGCTATTTCTCACCACAAAGCACCCTGGTGGTTTTAGGGGCTCAGACTATAGAGGAGAAAAACTGAGGCCTAGGGGATGGAGTTCAGGAAGATCAGAAACTTCCTGGGGTCTGGGCTGAGTGGGGGTCCCAGGATGGTCTCCCTTGACTTCCCCTTATCCCCAATTCCAAGTCGCAGCATTACATGGGGAGTGAGGAAGGATTTAAAAAATCTTACAGAAAAAAACCTAAATAATAAAATAATTTTCTTTTTTGTTAATCTTCACCCAAGGATATTTTTTCTATCGCTTTTTAGAGAGAGTGAAGGGGAGAGAGAGAGAGATGAGAGAGACACACCGATTGGTTGCCTCCTGCACAAGCCCCGACCAGGGTCGGAAATTGAACCCGCATCCCAGGTATGTGCCCTTGACGGGGAATCAAACCCACGACCCTTTGGTGTGTGAGCTAAACCGCTAACCACTGAGCAACACTGGCCAGGGCTAAAATAAAATAATTTTTAAAAACTCTTATGGGAATACGTTCCCTCAGAGAAGTCTGACCATATTTTATTAGAAATAATACTGATCCCTGGCCTAGTCTGTAGTTAGCACAGTATGCGCATATCCCAAACGGATTCATGGCACAGCTATGTAAAAACGTGTTTGCATGCCTTGACTCAATTCGTCCTTGCAATAACCTTGAAGGTAGACAGGGCCAGAATCATCTCCTTTGATTAGTTCAGGAAAGAGACTTGTCCACAGCTGTCTGGCCCGTTAGTGCACAGTTGGCTCCAGGAGCCAAGTTTCCTGGCCCTGTGGGAAGGGTCTCAGTACAACTCTTCTTGACTTCCCCCAACCTCAGTACGCACTGCAGAGCGAAGATGTCTTCATTGACTGGGCTGGCTTGTCCTGTGGCACTTCGTGTGGCATGTCCATCTCCAAGTCAGTCCGTGCCCCTGCCCTGCGGAATGAGGCAGTATGACCTGTGCGTTGGTTTGAGCTTACGGAGGAAGGGAAGAATTTCCCCAAGTCCCATTTCTGCCTTGCCCTTGGAGGGAGAAGGCCCTGCTGATGCCCCCTCCCTGGGAAGAACAGATGGAGGTCACCTTGACCTAACCATCCTTGGGGGCGGAGGGACGTGGCACAGAGATGTCTTTGTTTCCTCTGCTGCAAGTCCCTTCTTCAAGGAGAGTTCCTGTTGTGCGGGAGCCAGAGGGGAGGTGGGGTGGAGGTGAAGAGCCTTCCCAAGAAAGCTGGAGGCCGTCCAGGAAGGATCTCTGTGTTCAGCAGAGAGGCGAGAACTGAAGCCCTTGGCCTCCTAAACGTTCTGTTTCACCCCCACCTTGCCTCTGCTGGCACTGTTCACCGCCATTCCAGCTCCCACCTCCAAGGCCACTGGAAGGGGGCCACATCCTCAGCATAGACAGGTACCCCCAAGACCAATGTCCCTGCCTCTCACTGGGTCTCCTCGCCCTGGTAGAAAAT